ATAAAAATTTTTTTTCAAAAAATAAAACCATGAGTCAGAACTTTTGAAATTCATACATACAGGATTGTCTTACGATGATCTGACATATAGAATAACTTTTGTTGTATTCATTATTTAAAATTTTTTTCTATATTATTCATAGACATTTGCGATACATTTTTTGTTTTTTAAAACTGAAAATGAAAAACTTAAACATAGATAAAATTTATTTTTGATAAATTCAAAATAGCCTATTTGTGAATCTGATTATAAGAACAATACATTTTGATGGTAAAAAGATTTATCTAAGGTTAGGTTAGGTAATTTTTTTTTATATATATATATTATATAATAACATTATAGTCAACATTATATATTAGAGAACGAAAGTATGTAACCAAACTTGCAAAAATAGTTCATAAAAAGTGATATTATTATTATGTGTCATGTGTGTAGTTAAAAAAAAACAAAAACATTGTGTTAATAATTGATTGTATCATTTTTTTAATTTTTAAGGTGAATTAAATTTAAATCATGAAACTTTCATATTATGATGAATTTTAGTTCCAACAATTTTAGTCTACAATCTATTGTTTATTATTATTGATAGTTCATTCATCTACTTAAAACTGTTTATTTTTTAGTGTTTTCAGTAGAAAATTTATTATAKATTTCTTATTATTCAATAATTAAGTTAAGCAAAAATATAGTAACATTTTAGGTAAATTACTTGAAAATCACTCATACCTTTCAATTGGAGAATGTTTGGTAGTTCTGTTGGCCAGTACGGCCATGTACGCAAAATCAACACTGTAACAGTCACACATCCACGGGTTGTCGTCCAAATAAACATACTTCAGCTTAGTGCACTTATTGAACGTGCCATTTTTTAACGTCACTAAACGGTTCCCGGTTAATCTTATTTCTGTAAGATTGGGTGAGTTGACAAACTCGTACGATATCAGATGCGATATCCGACCATAGCTGAGGTCCAAAAACCACATGTGCGATGAGTTGAAACTACCTGGTAGTAACATTTGCAACGGGTTGTTGGATAAGATGAGCTCGCCAAATTTCTCTAGTTGAACGAATGCTCCGTTCGGAATTGAATGGATCCAACAGTGATCGAGGTTCAGTCGGCGAAGAGAGTTCGACTTCAGCCGTCCAATTTGAGAGATGAAGTTGTACGAAAGGTTCAATGATTCCAGCGATGGYAGTGTTGCCAARACAGATTCCCATGAGATTTCTATTATAAAATTTTTAGACAAGTCCAAAAACAGAAGTGATGGCATGCCGTAAAATGCTAACGGGTCCACCTGAATCATAAAAGTAATACATATTTTATTGTTACTATTTCATCATACTACATGTAATTCTATAGGTACAACGACATTAGATATGCTACAGTACTGTCATCATTATAAGCWGTTGTTTTTCAGTCGTTTGATTTTGATTTACAACAATCGGGGACCATTTTTTTATAAATATCCT